GAAAAATTTAAGGGGGTCTGAATACTTTCCATACCCAGTGTATATGACATATACTGTATTCCTGTCTAATTTTAGAGTATTAATAATTGTGTGGTTACTGCTACAGGTGGACAAAACTGAAGAGATGAACCATCACAACATCACTTATCAAACATGAGACAATCATGTTGTCACACTATCAGTGCCTCCACCAGCAGTGAAAAACATTTTCTCTGATGGATGAAACAGCTGTTTTATTAGTGCTGACTGTCTATGGCTACACACTGTATGAATACTATGTTATTAGCATTATTTTATTATTTTTGTAATTATAAATGATACATTAAAATTGTGATTGTTAAATACATTGTTGGTCATAATATTATTTAGACAGCTTGATAGCTTGTTATACGGCATCAGAATTATGCTCAGTGGTGGCTCTGTAGAGCAGATGTTTTCAGTGCGAGCACAGAACAAACTGAGAGTGGACAGACAAGATATTTCATGTGGGGAAAGGGACAGGTAGGCTGTAGGCTTTGTGCTGGTATAAAAAAAACTACTGACCAGTGTGTCGACACAGTCAGCAGCTGGATATGCAGCGGCGGCTGTGACACGGGCCTCATGGAGACTATTTGTGTTAAAAACTGCTCTAGCCTACTCATTCCCACTAACATCATAGTCAAGTCTGAACCAAGAGACATAAACTTTCAGTGGACAGGCTATAGCTAATTATCTCCATGTCCATGGCAAATAAACGTCTACAAGTTAACTTAGAAATCATAAAAGAAAGACGCTCCTTTGTAACTCCAGAATGCCTGAAGTTCATCGTTTTTTATATTTTTTTAGTATCATAGTACATCAATGAATACGTTGCAAACAGGAACTGCTAACAGCTAAGTCAGCGTGGGGCCAGTTTACAAAAAAATGTAAACCAGCTTAAGTAAACAGGACTCAGGTTGTTCTCCACATTCACGGTTATAGCCAACACCAAAGAGGTTCCATCCAGCAGAAGACATGTATATAGTATAACATATAAGCTGCACAAGACTGGGTAAAATATCATGACACATATTGATGTGCTGATGTTGCTGTAACTCTGAAGCTGTGTTTAGTTGGTCAGCTGTCCAGGCAGGTCAGAGCACAGCTAGAGCAGCAGAACTTTGCTCTTTCACTTGTTTGTTTTTGATTTGGATGTATGAGTGTGTGCATGCCGGGGCTAAAGCACACAGGTTAATGCCCTGTCCTCATTTGCAGAGGTGATAGGGGGGTGTAAGACATAATCCCTGTCCTGGGATTTTGTGTCTCAGACTTCAGTCCTTTCAGAGACGAGTGGAGAAAAAGGCTAGTAAGATGCAGAAAGTGATTCTGGTTCCCCTGCTGGTCCTGGGATGGACCTGGACCCTCAATGGACTCCCTGTTCTCCCAGAACCTCTCTACCCCACGCAGGAGAACTTTGATGTGGCTCAGGTAAGTGGCTGAGTTCTGCAGTCTTACATTCTATTTTTCCTCCTGTGTGTAATATTCTTTCATTTTGAATTTATACATTAAAAATATATTTATATACAGTATTATTATACTATATAACAGTATTATTATATATTGAATAATTTATTTGAGCTCATAATAGCTTGATTTTTATACATTAAATTTAGCAGTTTGGAATAAAGTTCAGTTACATAATGGAAAAGTCAAGTCTAGGTACATTAAGCAGAAAAGATGTGTGTGTAACCTGAGATCTTGTGTCCCATTTCTCTGATATCTGTTACAAAGTGTGAGTGGGTGTCCCATATTAGTACCTATTTCAAGTGTTATGTGTAATAAGAAGAACTGAGATTTTGAAATTTGCACTGACATGTTATATGTTGCTCTAAATAAGAAGTTATTTTGTTTAAAAATAATCTATTTGGTTTCTACTGTGAAGACTTGAACTATGGTTTCAGCTGTGCAAACCTGAAAATAATAATAATAATAGAGTGAGATGGACATCGTTTGATAGTTTTAGTTTGATAAGCTGAACAAACAATACAGAACCAATTAGAGTTATAGGTTTTATATGTAATACTGTGTTAGTTAGTAAACTGTACACTATGTGATGGCATTTCTTCCTCACAGTTTTTGGGAACATGGCATGATGTTGCTGTGGCAAGTACATGTCCACATATGCAGCGTCACAGGGAAGGTTTATCCATTGGTAAACTGGTGCTGCAGAGAGGCACCACTGAAGGAAAACTCAAGATGACACGAACCTCACTCAGGTTTGAAGTACATGTATCACGCACAAACAGTACAATGTGATACACAGTAAACACCAATACTGAGTACAGCCCTGGTTAATATCACTAAAATGTTACAAATCCTGTCCATCTTATACAATTTTAGAAATAAGACAATTATTTTGAAGAGCAAAAATGTTTGCCTAATTAATTAAACTACAATTTTCAAAAAGCAACTGCAACAAATCTTAGCACAGCCTTCATTAGTGAGAACCCATCCTTTAGTTTTTTCTCATTTGATTGGATTTAGTCAGATGTTTACTGCATGACACATATTGTAAAAGAGAAACTAACAACTGTCAGACAAGGTTTATGTATTGTTCACGTTTATCTGTATGTGTGCAGACATGGAACATGTAAGGAGATATCTGGGGATTATGAGTTAACCACCACGCCAGGACGATTTTTCTACCACATTGCAAGTATGTATAGTATCTCTCTGTCGCCCTCTGTGTAATCTTGCAGTGGTGTTCAAGGCAGTATAATCTTTTCCTGCACTTTCAACAGAGTGGGGGGCAGACGTGGATGCCTACGTAGTTCATACAAACTACAACGAGTATGCAATAGTGATAATGAAAAAACAGAAATCATCAGGGGAGAACAGCATCTCTGTTAAGCTTTACAGTAAGTGGAAACTCATTATTTGTTTCCATTGTTGTATTTTGCTCTTTGCAAAAAAGTAGCAATCAAATTCTGCTAGAATAAATCACAAAAAAAAGGGAAGTTAATCCCTTACTAGTTCAGGTTAAAGTGATTATTAGGTGAAGTCAAGAACATCCTTCTACCTCCAAACCTTTACAGCATGTTAAAATACTGGGTTCCATTTACATTTAAATTACTGTGCCCTCTTCAGGTCGAACAAAGACTGTGAGAGCCACTGTGCTGGATGACTTCAAAACACTGGCCAGACAACAGGGAATGAGTGATGACGCTATTTTCATTAGGCAGAACAAAGGTACAACACAGACAGACTATTACATACATACTTGCACTAATACACCTTGAAATATTAACATTCAGACAATATCAAAAACTGTAAATTAAGAGATTTTAGCATCACTCAAATGGATAGCTAAATGACGTTTTCATTTATGCAGGTGACTGTGTTCCTGGAGAGCAGGTAGCAGAGCCAACAACTCAGCCTGAGCCTCAGGTACTAACACTATATTGAATTAATTTCACTTATACTGATCTACAATGTATATTCTGACTTTATTTTTGTTTGAATGCAAATTACTTCAATTAATAATGCATTTGAGTTCTTGTTTTATTATTACTGTTGTATATCAAATCATTATAAATTCCTCTCAGCAGTAGCTGGATTATATCAGTAAAAATATTAGTTGCAGTAGAAGCAGCAGTACATTTATACAGAGATCCCTGAAATAACTTTTACTGGTCATATTTTTGATTGTAACCTGTTAACATGGAAACATACTTTTCTTTTAAAGGTATAAAACCAGTGACTTACTGAGCGCTCAGTGGAACGTTAAAGTAACAAATGAAACAGCAACACAATGTACAGTATAAGTAAAAGTACATATTGTACAAAATGGTTTGATTAGATTTAGCTCATTAGTTCAAATATGTGTTGATTGTGCATTTTAATGTTGTATATTAGTATATTAGGCCTAAAGGTCTGAGAAGTGAGATTGTGACCAGAAGTGTTGCCAGTTCAATCCCCAGGACAGGTGACCTCATCCTCATTATCACCACTGTGATGCCCTTGAGCAAAGCCATTAACCCCAACCACTCCAGTGGAGCTCCTCAGTGGCCACAGATCAGTCTCTGGTTGTACTGGGCAGTTTACCCTGAATAAATGTTAAATAAATAAATAAAACTCACTTTGTCAAATGTGTTATTTGGGATATTTGTAGAGTTCAGGGGGCTTTGTATTTCTGACTGAGTCTTTCTATGGCTGTGCTACAGCGGGTGAGGAGAAACGTGGTGCCTTCTTTGGCTCCTGCAGATGAGGACGGTTCAGGTGATGCACTTCTTTTCAGTGGAGCCGGTAAGAGATCAGCTCACTTAGTTAATTAATAAATGTCCAGCACAGTGAATTCCTGAAAATGAACGTGTGCTAAATGTAAGACCAGAGATTCTGATCACAGGGTCTGGTGTTGTATCCAAAGGGTATCTGTTCTTTATTACACTATTTCTCTCTCTCTCTTTCTGTAGAGGCCTGTGCAGCACCACCAGAAACCGGACCATGTTTTGGGCTACACCATCATTACTACTACAACTCTTCCTCAATGAGCTGTGAACTCTTCAAGTATGGGGGATGTATGGGCAACCAGAACAACTTTGAAACTGAGAGAGAGTGTCTGCAGAGATGCCGCACTGAGGGTGAGGAGTGAAATTCAAAGCATCGTATCTGGATATGATATGATTATGCAATACATAACTGCTGCTGTGGGTGTGGTGCAGAGGATGTAGACTACTGAATCAATACTGTGAACATAACTGTAGGCCATAGATGTGCTTTGTCAGTTCTGCTAGTCCCTTTTCAAACTGCATTTGAGAAGTTAAGTAATACTGTCTGTCGTGATGCTCATGTATGAGATGAGAAAGATATAAAAGAAGGAAATATATAACAATATTTACCCTACACTGTTCTGCCTCTCCAGCTGTGTGCCGTCTGCCCATGGCAGCCCAACCCTGCACAGGTCAGCCACCCATCTGGGCTTTTGATGCAACCGTCGGTCTGTGCGTGCCCTACAAAGAGGGCTTCTGCCAGGCCAATGCCAATAAGTTCTACAGCAAGGCTGAGTGTGAGGAGTACTGTGGGGTGGTTAAAGATGGTGAGATGATGAAGTACATATTGTATAAGTACAGCAATGCAGAACAAAAAAATCAAGCAGAGTGCATATAGAAACACAGACACCTCTAGATGACCCAGCCTGTGGAAAAACCACAGACTCAGATTCCTGTAAAAGAAAGTGAAGGCTACTCACTGGTAAAACTCCTGATACCTGATCAACACCATGAGCAAAGACCTGTAAACTTGGCTAAAAACAAACCTCCCCTCACAGATGTCTAATGGATTTAATGCTTTCTTTTACAGATGCAGAACTCCTGAAGACAAACTAAATGAGATGATGAGACATGGCTGCACTGCTGAGTTCATTGTACAGTGATGCAACATGAATAAGCATCAGAAAAACACACATTAAAGAAACATGAATTTTTGTTTCAGCACTCATAAAATATGTGAAGTCATATCACAACAAATCACCAATAAAACAAGTCATTACTTTGCTTGTCTGGTGTTTATTGATTGTTTCTGCTACTTTTTATTATTCTTGTCTGTAGGATTCCCTTTATTAACCTTTATTTATTCAGGGTGAGGCCACTGAGAGATCACCTCTCTTTTTCAGGAAGGCCTGTCCACATTCACACATGGAAGCTCCCCAGTACAACCACATTAGCTCTGCACTGAAACTGGTGTCCATGGCTAAGCACTGCATAGACTGTTGATGAGGTGCTGTGACCAGATCCAGCTAGGGAGTGTTTGTCTGTTTGTAGCACCAATTTGCTGCAAAGGAAAAAAAAATAAACCATTGTTTTTGTAGTGAAATCTGTATTTTATGCAGATTTCTGTGCATTTGATTCCCTGCAGGAACCTCTTACAGCAAAAGGCCATCAAAGATAAATGTGCTTTGAATTTAGCACAGCAGTGCGTTGTTTCCTGAAAATCAGGTCCGTTAATGTAAATGAAGTCTGCTGCATTTGGTGCAAAGGTTTGATTTTGATAAGTGTTTTTGTAGTTTTATGTGTCATACGTCTTTTTGCAGGGTGTGTAGTTCTGTTTTTAATTGTTTCGAGACAAAGAGAGCTGCTGTCAAAGCTGTGTGTTACAGAAAAGCAAAAGATGGCTACTTTGAAGACTCAAAGATTTGAATCTTATTTTTCTTTGCAGTTTTGGGGTTTTCACTATTAATCTACAGTGTAGAAAATAATAGAAGCAAAGACAACCCACTGAATGAGAAGGAGTGCCCAAACCTTTGATTGGTATAGTAAACAACATCACCCAGTCGGCTAGCATATCACACACTGGTTTGTGAATAGGTTTTTGGCTAACAAAATGTTTTCATGAATAGCCCTCATAGCATATAAAGATACAATATTTCCTTATTTGGTGTAATAACATTGTCACTGTCATAAGGTCAGGAGAAATGAGAAAATAATCTAATGACCTAAAAGTTTTCTAATCAATATTATTTCACATACTGTCTCAGGTCTTCATCATCCTACAGCCTACAGTTTTTCATTGTGTGGGTGTAACCAGGAGGGGGCGATAACATGCTACTGATTATTCACATGTATTTCACACAGTCTTAGTTTTTACTCATTCACACCTGCACACATAGTAAAAGTCACAAACACAGTACTGCTTATGTTTGTTATTTACAGCAAATGAGTCATTCAGTGCTGCAAAATCACCACATAACATCACCGCTGCTTGCTCTGTCTCCTTCTCTCTCTCTCTCTCTCTCTCGCTGTCTCTCCATCCTGCGAAGGAGCCAGGCTTCCTGCTCTTAGTTCCCAGAGTTCCCGACTTCTGCCAGCAGAATGCTGGGAATATCCGGACAGGAAGGAGAAGTGACATCACAGCGGTGACCTTCCGTGCCAGGCCATATCACCTGGTGTTGTGTGGAGGAGAGCTATCAAACAAGTGTGAACACACAGATAACCAGAAGCACATACCTCTTTCATTTTTTCTACACATGCACAAACATGAATGCACATCCATGACACACACACTTCATGACATGCTGCTTTCCAGGAAAAGAGAAAGAGCGGGGGAGGAAAAATTGTGAGCAAGTTCCCACGAAGAGAGCGCAAGGAAGCAGTAACTTTGATTGGTCAGGCAGAAAACTTTCCTGTACCTTTGCATAGACAGGCTGAGCTAACAGTATATTTGACAGGAACATTCCCATCACACTTCAGCTGGTTCCTAACATCAGCTCTGTCTGTGTTGCTAGTTGTTTGTCTGTATGTTTTTCTTACTGGCTGTCCATCTGAGTTAGTCAGCATTACTAATTTTGGGCAGTCAATTCCACAGAATATGCAGCAAGTCTACTAAATCAAAGTATAGGTTGGCTTCTGATTAAATTACAGGGAGAATAAGATTTTTCCTGTAACAGCTGCTCTGGGTCCACACTATTGCTAGCCTGGGACTGCTTTTCTTAGCAGCTGCATATAGGAAATGAATGTGTGTGCTGGCTTTAGCACACACATTACAGAATTTCAGCACTGTACTGTAGTAGAAAGTTGAGGTAGTGTACTTCCATTTTATGCAACTTCATACTTCTACTTCACCTTATTTCTGAGGAAAACAACACACATGTGGCTCCACTACACTTATTTGAAAGCTAAACTTAAAAGTTGCTTTTCATGTTCAGGTTTTACCTTAAAAACACATCTTAAGCTTATGAAACACACTGTATTACCAACAAGTTGCTCCCAAATGTTTTGGCACATGACAAGTTTTATGCAGGACAAGTTTTCTGATACTTCCGTTCAGTCCACTTTATAGCGAACTGATGTCTCTTTCACTGAGCAGAGTGAGACAGATGTCACTACACACAGATGGAGGCCGGACATGCACAATGAACATATGGTCTGTAGTGGAGATGTTTTCTGAGGATGGAGCTTGTCTCAGGGGTTACATTCTTTAGGAGCCAAAAACTGGAGAACACATGAACAAGCCCACATACTTGCACAAATACATGTACATAAATGATATGTAGAAATAATATGTACCTAAAGAATGGGATGAGCAAAGAAAAACATGGAAGCCAACAAAGAGCAAAATGAGAGAGCAAGAAAGACAAGATGCTCTTAATGCCAACTTGAGAAGAGAGGGCGGAGCAGTGATGGGGAGAGGAGGGAAAGGGAGAGACAGACTGTGTGTGGTGGAGATGTCATTATACAGAATGCCAAAAAAAGAAGGCACTCTGGTCAGCTGCTGCTGTCGCCACTGACTATTATCCTGCCAGCAGAGGAAACCCCATCCACACACACACACACACACACACACACACATACACACACATTAGTCTCTCATCTTGTTTTGAACGTCACTTTCTTTCCTTCTTCAAGTTCAACTCTGATTACATTGGCAGTCTGTAACATTTAAAGCTCCCTCCACATCCCTCCCCTAAACCCCAGCTGAGTCTTTTCAGCAAGTCTGAGATCCAACAAATGTTTGCTTCCAAAAGACAGATCACACTTAGCTTATTTAAATAGAACTCAAGTAGAAGTAAAATTGCTAATTATGATAAAACTACAAGTACTTCAATGAATACAGCTTTTTCAAAGTGAAATCATCCTACCAAGTAAAGTCTCTGTCCATTAGTGTTTCTCTCCAAAGCTTTCTTATGAGTGAATGTATGATGGATCAGAGATTCATAAAACAAAAAATGTGTCACAATAGCATAAATATTTTAATTCCACCCTGACAATATATTAATATTAAAACCTAAATATTAGTCTCAAAAACAAGATATTTGAGGAATGCCTGAAAAATAAAATGCAATTTGCTGCAGAAATGCTTACAAAAGAATTGGTTCTTTTTAATCTTTTAATGCGTCAGAATTAAACGTTGTATGGTAATAAGCAATTAACAAGGAACCATCAATTTGGCAGCTATTTATCCTCGTCCAGAAAAAACGTACTTTCCCTTGAACTCATCAGGAAGACCCCTTAAACAGACCATTCGACAGTTTCTCAGATTACTGTAACGGCCTGTTAACATTAATGATTGCAGACACATGACCATTTAATACCTTATCATCTAAACTCTGTCGTTGAATAAAAGGATCTAAAGAACAGAGACAGAGAATAAAGAATAGATTCTCAATTTGGGAACCTGGAAAGCTAAATGTTGTTTTATTAAATTACCTATTATGCATCTATTAAACATCTACCAGTGATAAATTAAGCTATTAGTTACAACTTGTTTACCCGGTATAATGTGTGCCTTAACAAGTAAGTGGTATCCTACCTCAACCTAAATCTACTTTAGTGAATGAAGAGTTATTGAATTAAGAATGTTGTCAAAAAAAGTAGCAGTGTGTGAAAAAGCTGCTGAGTGAAACTAAAGAGAGCGATTAGCTGGTAGTTGTTTTGCACCCATGAAGATGTTTTATTGTTGGATGGATGGTAGGACAGGAGGTAACTCTGAATGAAACTTTCTTCCCTTTATGAGTGTGGTGTGTATGTATGTGCTGCATGTTGTCAAAGGTGCTGAACTTGACATTATCATTCCAGGAACTGTGCAGTGGTGTCCCTGTGTGCATGCTTGAATGTGTATGTATGTGCACACAAAGTGTGTTTATACTGTATATGTTCATCATTTTTCTGCATATCTTTATTCCAATGGTCAAGTCAACTCACATCAAATGACTGGTGATCAGCAACCCTCCACTGCCTCTTTGCACAGTGTGTGATGCTCTGGTGCATTCTGCATTGACTGACCTCTCTTTGACTCACGCACACACAAACAGAGGGTATATGACCACTCAGTGACACTTGCAGACAGACAGACACAATAGGAGATCCAGCACATTCCTTTCCCCAGGTGGTATAAAAGACGCAGCCAGATCAGTGGCCTAATGGACTCCAAACCAATGACTGATGATCATTAACCCCCTATAAGTGTGAATTCCTCACACCCCTAACCCATCCATTGTGTGACCACTGCTCATTGTGTGAGGGATTTTTCTCATATGGAGCTGGTTAACTGCTGGATGCCCACAGTCAGCCACCACTGGGCCATCGGTGAGTGTCCTTCAGGGCTCATGCTCCCAGTGTGTCCCACCCTGCCTTGGTCGGTGGCTTTTCAGTCAGTTCAACATGTTGCTATAAACAGCAGCTGTTTTGAACAATAAGTGTTTTGTTTATAGCTTACACTTCCACATTCTAGCTCTTCTTCTTTTCCTTTCTGAGTGGCAAATACAGATTCCATGAACTGCTGGTAGGGGGAGTTATTTCTGTCATGCAGGCGCAGAATGTACGTGCTAGTTGGCTGTCGTCTGTGTGGTGTGTTCAAGTGTTACTTTTTCAGCCTGACTGGCCCAGACAATTTTGATTTATTTTTGATGACATTTTTGGAGTTAAACAACTGTTGTTCATAAAATGTACAACAAATTATTATTTGTGACCCCGAAGAACTTGCAGACATCTAGATACAACTACAAAACAGCTCAGGGTCCTGCACCAGTTACGTTTTATGTAAACAAGGATTTGGCAA